CTCTGAACGCTGAATCCACAATACAATATAATGCCGTGTCTCCTGTCATCTGTGAATATCGTACTCCTGCATGGTGTGTCTGGATCCATTTGAAACTCAAGTTCAAGACCTGCGCGTGCCTGTGCTTGAGCTGCTTGGCGCTCCGTTGACACAGCCCCACGAAGACTTGAATCTCTGGTCTCGATTGTGCTACCCATGATAGCGCTCCCAAGAGACTCCTTGCCAAGGTATGTAGCTCTGCACTAAGATCGTCGTCTGGTCGGTGAACTGAATGAGCCGGCAGAGGTATCATGTGTAACTCCATTATGTAGCCTTTCTGGTGCGTGTAGATTGACTTCTTGTCCGTTGTCTGCTCATGCTCAACTCCTACATGCGTGAACTTGTTCATGTGTTTGCTGCACTTACCAAATGCCTTCTCCAGTGCTTTCCATAACTCTTCTCGCGCTGACGTCGATGACCCTGTCAAATCATCACAATGTCCACAAACTAATGAAATACACATGTTCTGATTGTCATGCCTCATGTACGGCTTGTTGTCGGTCTTGCTCGGAATATGATGCGTCGCGCTCATGACTTGTGCTAACTTCAGGGTGAAAAGTCTCGGTGCATCTTTCAATCCCCAAATCGGTCGCAGGATCCGTAGGCAATGTTTCTCATGAGCGAAATTCTCCCAACCTTTGAACGTCCTCAAAACGGAAGCGGTCTTGATGTCCACGATAAGCTGAACCTGTCTGATCAACCCATCCGTCGTCATCTGATTGATTTCGTCGAACGTGAGGCCATTGAGGAAAGCTCCTGAGATATCCAACGCCCGCAAATCATACTCATTCTGGCATGCGTGACTGTTCACCACTCGCGTGCTGTACCGAGCTGCGGTTCCGCGAAAGGTTTCAACCTGTGACTGCCTGTCCTTGGATCCCCTCGACGTCCATCTGCCCGTGACATCGCGCTGCTCGTTGCCGTCGATAGCCGTGATCTTCCACTTGAAAACCCAAGTGCCGTCAACGAGGTTGGTGGCGTCCCGCTTGAGCATGACGCCTACGCTCTCGAGCTCCAACCACTGCTGCAACTCTCTCTTCATAGAGCTGATGACTTTATCATGGTGTCGTTGCTGATCATCTGCGCTGAGGTTGTGAAGATCTCGCTTGATAACACCAAATCATACCCCTCGGGGATGCGCTGCTTCGTTCGAAACTCCAAATTAGCAATATACCAAGCTAAAGCAAACTCCGCCACGGGTTCCTCGCGCTCGATGTGGAACGTCATGTCCTCTGGCTGAATCATCAGGTCGTGCTTCGTCTGCTGTGCCGGTGCCTCGAAATACTCAAACTCGGACTGGTCAAAATCGCCCTTCTCACCTTTTCGCTTGAGCAGGGGCTCCGGCTTCCTGCTCATGATGTAAGCCTTGAACTCGTCCATCGTAGTAGGTAGCGTGACCTCATTGCCGCGGTGATCACAATAGAAGTCGTCGCCTTCTGCAATGCGCCAGCCTCCGTCGTCTGGACCTGATGGTGTGGTCCACGGTCGTTGGTGCCTGATCCGGGCACGAAGTCCTCGTCACTGATCTCCTCAGTCGTTGTAGGTGAGGTTGGACGCACTGCCGGTGTAGTTGGTGCTGCCGTTGATGGTGCTGCGCCTGAGGAGGAAGCTGTTGTACCTGCGGCCGGAGGCTCGTACGGTGGAGGATCCAAGATAGGTCCTTCGTCTCGATCAACTGCTGGATCTGTTCGCTGATACTTGGCGGCAGGTGTTGCTTGATCCTTTTCTGCTTCCTCGTGGGGCAGCATGCGATACTTGGGCGCTCGATCGTCATCGTGTGCGCCATCGTGTTTTCTCCTTCTTCGTGGTGGTCTGACTTCTTCTTCAGGTGGAGGAACAGCTGGTGGTGCGTCAGGTACTCGAACTGGTTGAGGTGGTACAGGAGGTGCTGGATTCATGTCCATGTCTGCTGGTACTTCAACCTGGTCGCCGTCATTGTCGTCTCGCTGACGTTGCCTGAAGAAGAGCTGTATACATGCTTCAGGCCTTTCGTCTTCACAAAAGATTCGCTTCCAATCTATGTAGGTGCTGCCGTGCTAGATGGTGTAGTAGCGAACTGGTGAATGCTTATACCATCATATCAGAAATGAGCTAGGCATCTCTGGTAGATTTTGAAGATGATGCATACCACAGCCAATCCGTGCTCCAAGACAGTGTCGTACTCCTGCCAGAAGTGCTAGATGAACGATGGCGCTCCACAGGCTAGGATATTGTGTGGTGCTGCGCGTGAGTTCCCAACGTCCAGCTGGAGACACACACCAACCAAAACGTAGTACTGCTCTTGAGCAAGAGTCCGCAAACTTGGTCACCTGCGTCATGACTGTGCTGATGCCCGTGGTGCTGCCGTCTTGACTGCTCGCAAAATGTAGAAACTCCATGTGCAGCGCCTTCCTGATGTCCGCGATTCGCACCGACATGGGTCGTCCCTGCAATTTGCAGTGTACGAGACCGTCGCGCATATCTGACATGTCTGTGATCTTGCAGGGTTCGATCCAATTGGAGGCACCCTTCTTGTCGGGACTTCCTGCAGATGTCCACGAAATCGCCGACCTGCAACTCGAGGCCTTGCCCGGATGTCCGTGTCTGTGACTCCAGTGCTCGCTGTACTCTTGCTGCTGCAGTCGCTTCCACCATTGCCGTGTTCGCTAATTCTCGCATGCGGTGAGCGTGTCTGGTTAGACCTGGTAGCCCTCCCACATCATCCTGGAGAGGTGCTGCGCTCACTTGATCTAGATCTTGAAGCTGTGCTGGTTGTCGTCCATATAGTGCTTGATAGGGAGAGAAGCCACCAACATTCAGTAGCTGATTGTGCGCCATGAAAGCCTCGGCTACGATGTACTCATCTGGTATGGCCATGTCCAATTCTTCCGCCTGAGACTTGGTGCGCCGTATAGTATTGCGAACTATCTCGTGATGTCGTTCAACGATAGCTGCCTTTGAGCCGACTGGCTTGGCTCGTCTCTGAACCTGATGTGGATCACAATAAATGCGAGCTTCGTCGGACTCCAAGGCTCCTTCTTGATCTGCGATGAGGTGCTGAGGTGGTCCGTGTATCGTGACCCAAGCCAAATGGATCACACGCAGAACTTCTGGAGGCTCCTTGCTGATTGCGACACCGCCTCCTGAGAACCTCAGACATTCGTCGATAAGATGAACCACGATAAGTTCGCCCACAAATAACAGGTCCAATTGTACGTACTCGTTGAATGTGAGAGACAGTCGCATGGTCGGCATGTTCTTCGGAGCTGGTCTCTGCCGCATCCGACATGCCCTGCACGCGCCCACAATGTCGCGTGCCATCTTGCAGACTTCCATTGGCACGCCAGCGTCCTGCAACATCCTGACCATGTCGTGCGCCTGGGCGCGCCACCATCTGATATGAAGTACTCGAAGAGTTCGTCGCACAAGATTCATGTCTGCTGACTTGAGTTGATGCAGTGCTCGTCCCAAATCATACGGTGACCACGTTCGCATATCTGTCATAGTGGGAAGTCCGTCTCCTTCGGTTTGTGCTCCTCCTGAACGAAATCGTTGTATTTCACCGTCGCCGGCTCCACCGCGCTGTCTGGGTGCGTCTGCCAACCGCAGTCGTCCTTCGCCTTCTGCTGGTGCTGCTGCTGCGGATGGCGCCGCCGATGGTGATGCTTCAGGAGGGGGAGGAAGCGGTAGCTCCAGTCCTGGATCGGGATCCACTCGATTAGCTGCCGTAGGTTCGTCATGAAGACGCGGTCGTGGATCTCGAGGTAGCTTAGTCGCCCGTCTCTTGGTTGATGATCTGATTGCCGCTTCTCCCCATTTGCAGTCAAGTCCGTACGCGTGTCCTGCATGGTCTCGAGGTTTGTACGTCTTGCACGATGGACAAGCCCACTCTCTGGGTTCAACCAACGAACGCAAACATGATTTCGGATCTCTAGTATGTCTTGGATCATACATGTCTCGATTCGATCTGCAGGCTGAGCATTTGACCCAATCTGGCATGCGTGATTCAGGTGCTCGAATACGCTTCTTGGGCACCTTGCCGGCCTCGGCTGGCGCTGCCGCTGCGGCTGCTGCTGATGCTGCCGCGGCTGGAGGTGCAACTGCTGCAAGAGGGTCTGGTGCTGATGGCAGTGGTGCCCATGCTGCCGCTGCTGCTGCGGCTGCTGAACGTCGTTTGGGTCGTGCTGCTGCTGCTGCTGCTCCTGGCGCTTGCTCTTCTTCGCTCTCGTCGTCGCCTGCCGGGAAGAATATCTGGTGCAATCGCAAATGCCGAAGTAGATCGTGAATGCCTGTGGCAACCAACTTAGCCAATTCCCAGGTCCAGAGACGTGCGTCATGGGGTCGACCGCCTGAGATTGTGGCATGCTGATGGCTACGATCACACTTCAGATTCCACAGTGGTCGAATCAACAGGTAATGTGATGCCCAGAACTCGGTAGGCTTCAAAAGATGCAGAAAGGGAGGTCTATTCTCGCGAAGGTTGGTCATACACTGATGAACAATGCACCAATGAAGCTCTAGATGATTTCGTACGTAGTCCCATTCCGCCATACTGTACATCTCAGTCGTCTGAGGGTGTTCCGATATGAAATGCCGGTGATGCCGTAGCTGAAATTCTGCAACTCTGCCTGCAAGCTTAGCAAGGGGTACAGGCGTCCGCCTGCTCTGTTTCCAGGTCTCCGGGTTAGTAATCCTGTTCGACGTCTGCCAGCCAGCCGAACCAGTACATGGAACGCAATCATCACCTTGTTCGACTTGATATATTGCCAGAGCGCTGCCTCCTGAATCGAATCCAAGAGATCGATGCCCACGACGATGTCGAAGTTGAGGCCGACCTTGGTCTCGTGGAAGCGGCGCATCAATATCTGGGATGTTCTGGCGTTGCCCCCGCATATCTCCACAACATCGATATAGCGGTCCTTGCTGCGTGAGCTGTACTGCGAAGGATAAGACCAATCGGTCATGAAGCTAGTGAACGAGTCTTACTTGAACTTCTTCGGTATGTGGCTGTAAATCATGTCGTTGGTGTCTGATCCACTCAAACCACGCAGAAAAGAAATAAATACGGAATAGTTATCTTGCTCCGGCTCGTCGTTCATGATCTGGTCGTCGTCGTCGTAAATGTCGGCGTCCGTCTGGTTGAGAGCCCATAACGCTTGCTTGAGGCTCGAGTCGTCGAGTCCGCAGTCGTCGTAGTGCTGTTCCACTTTGAACTTCTTCTTCTTGCTTGGCGCAGCGTGCGTCGAGTCGATAGCCTGTGACTGTCGATACCGTTCTCGTTCTTTGGCTCGCACTGCTGCATCGGTAGGATATGCCGTGGAATCTTCATCAAGGACGTCGGACATAACCTTCTCGCCACTGCTGTTGCCCGTCGTCCTCGGAAGGGGAGTGCGCTGATGCCGATGCCGCCGCGGGTGGTGTAACAACTTGCTCTCGTGATGGCTTGTGCTCTGTCTTGAACAACAGGTCAAGGAGGCTCGCAACTGCAGCCGGTGCCTCAGCGTTGTCGACCATGCCCGGAGCTCCCAAATCAAAGTTGGCCCCCAGGCGAACGGTCGAGGTGTGACTGCCATCTTGTAGCCGCACCATGGTAGTCTTCAGGCCACCGCTCTGGCGCTGCTTGCAGATGAAGTCGCCAAAGTGGTGCTGTCGCCAAACTGCTTGCACACGCTCGTTGGCCTCAAGAAGTACAGATCGTTGTAGTGAAATCTGCTGCTCGCTGAACTGGCTGCCGAGCTGCAACCGCCGTCGGTGCGATCTCGCAAACTGTCCCGTCCTAGGAGGTCCGGGAAGACATACCCACAACAGAGCTGGCCGATGTTGATGAAATAACGCTTGCATGTGATTACTGCTGCTCGCCGTAGTGCGTCGTGAACTGCGGTTGTAGAGCTGGACATTGAATCGCTGGCTGGAAGCGTAGCTTCGTTGGCCGTCAACGTCATCCATGATCCGAATTGTAGGTATGGTTTCGTCATGCACAGAAGGAGGTCGAGGTAGAGAAAGGTTCGGGAAGTCGCCGTGCGTCTCCTTGGCGGCCTGCTCCTTCCCAGGAGCCTCGGCGGGACGCGCCGCCGAGCTTCGGTGCTCCGTCGCGAACTGCGGCTCTGCCTTGAAGGAGACCTTCTTGCGCTTGTCGAACTCTGTGCAAGGTACCAATGGGTGTCCGCTCATGCTGCTCTCGATCTTCAGCGTGGAGGTGCCATGAGGGGTGTTCACATGCACTCGGCCCGGCCCGCATAAATTCATTTCGTCGTTGACCAGGTCGATGACTGCCCGCTGATGCCGCGTGGATTCGATGCCC